ATTGAACTTGCCAATAAAATATCTATGCCCTTTGATAAAGGGGAACAAGTTCTAGAAGTATTTATCAATCTCTCTAAGGCATTAGATACTGTTGATCACGGAATTTTACTTTCAAAGTTAAAGCATTACGGCATTAAAGGGCTAATTTATAAGTGGGTTAAAAGTTGACTTTTTAATAGAAAACAGTATGTTGTCCTAAAGGAGTCAGGAGCTCTTTATATTGTATGCGGAGTCCCAAAGGAATAAATCTTGGGACCTTTTTTACTTATATATATTCGATATAGCTCGATACTAGATATAGCTTGAAAAATATCGTCAATTATGTATGCAGACGATACCAGTTTCTTCCACAACAACTCTGATATAAAAATATTTGAACAAAGAACTTTTAAATATATATTTAAAAGTAAATCTTATACTTTTAAATATGTATTAAAAGAGAAAAAATATAACAAAGTTTAATTTATATAGATATTTGAAACAATGAACACTGAACTAGAAAGCTTTAACCAATGGTTTATATATGTTATAATGGTTTATATGGCAAATAAATTATAAATAAACTGTGAAAAAACAAGTTTTACTCTCTTCCATAAAATAAAACAATCAACTAATCTTCCGTTAATGTTGCCAAAACTGTCAATCAATAAAAATGAAATAAATCGAGTAAATCATGCAGGATTTTTGGGAGTAATATTTGATGACAACCTAAAAATACTTTTTTTAAGAACTACTTTTTAAAAAAGTTTTTATTTTAAATCAGGGCCACAAAACTGTGGGGCTGCTTTGAGTTGAACAGAGTAACAATGTTTTAAAAATTAAGAAATGATCTCTATGACATTTACATAAATATCTCAACACTGTATAAAATATACATGATCTATTTCTAGTGCGTTTGCAGAACTTTCTTTTAGATGACTAACTCTCTTAAAGTCATTTTTACAATTCACTGTGAGTAAGAAAAGTTATTAAGTTTAGCATTACTTTTTAAGACTTGATGAATGACTATAATCATGAAGTTGTGCTGGATTTTTTTTACCATTCGAAACCAAAACGACTGAAAAAAATCAAAATAACCCATTTTTGATATATCGTTAAAGACATGTATAGTTTAAAAGTTTATCTATAATATAAACATCTTTTTCAGCGCTACGGATTCCCTGAATCCGTAACGCTGTAAAGATGCTACTGTAGCATAATTTTTTTTTTCATACAGGAAAGAATACGCGTAAAAATTACTCTTTAGCATTTAATAATTTACAGGTGTATCATAGCAGTCGTGACAAGCGATTCGTACTGGGTTGCCATTTTTCAGACAGTATTTTAATAATATATATTTTCAACTCTTTTGCAAAGATAAAATTTACGTTCAAATAGATTCAATAAACTTAATCCTGATGAAAATAAAAAACGTTCAGAGTTTTCAGTTCACAAGGGCCTACCTAATAAAATAACTTAAAAAAGCAAAGTTTAAAAAATTTAAATTGACTAGTTGATTAAATGGTACCCATTATTCTTGATTCTTAATGAAAAAAATAAAAATAATTAAAACACTGAAAATATGAAAACTTAAATTTTCTATGAGAATATTATATTGGAAAAAAAAAATTGTTAAATCTTATCTGATTTTCTTTTTTAGGGTTTTATAGAATATCTGATTCTTTTTTAGGGTTTTATAGAATATCTGATTCTTTTTTAGGGTTTTATAGAATATCTGATTCTTTTTTAGGGTTTTATAGAATATCTGGTTATTTTTTAGGGTTTTATAGAATATCTGGTTATTTTTTAGGGTTTTATAGAATATCTGATTCTTTTTTAGGGTTTTATAGAATATCTGGTTATTTTTTAGGGTTTTATAGAATATCTGATTCTTTTTTAGGGTTTTATAGAATATCTGATTCTTTTTTAGGGTTTTATAGAATATCTGATTCTTTTTTAGGGTTTTATAGAATATCTGATTCTTTTTTAGGGTTTTATAGAATATCTGATTCTTTTTTAGGGTTTTATAGAATATCTGACTCTTTTTTAGGGTTTTATAGAATATCTGGTTCTTTTTTAGGGTTTTATAGAATATCTGGTTCTTTTTTAGGGTTTTATAGAATATCTGGTTCTTTTTTAGGGTTTTATAGAATATTTGGTTATTTTATAAAAATCAAAATCAGTATAAGAATAATACCAAAAATTATTTTATAAGTTTCTTATTAAAAAAGTAATTTATTAATATTTTGATATTAGTATTTATATGGGTTTACATAAAAAAAAAAGTATGAGTTTTCCTTTAAAAGAAAATTAAAATTAAAAGAAAAATTAAAAAAACAAAAACAAAAAACAATAATAATTTAAAAAGAAAAATTATTTAGAAATGCAAAAATCTTCCAAGTTTTTAAATTTTTGACACTAACTGAACGCTAGTTGTGAAAAGTCATAGCAGAAGCGCTCAGTTTTCAAACTGAACGCTAGTTGTCAAAAGTCACTGCAGAAGCGCTCAGTTTTCAAACTAAACGCTATTCGTCAAAAGTCACTGCAGAAGCGCTCAGTTTTCAAACTGAACGCTGGTTAGTTAGATCAGTAAACGGACACCTGTTTGAACCTCTTGTATTTGCACCGCACGTTTAACTGGTTCAACTATGTCGTTACCAGAGATAAAAAGTGGGTATTCTACGTAAACCATACAAGGAAGTACTAGTAGCTAGCACCGAAATAACCTCCTACATACATGGTTTAAAAAGTATCACTTGGGATTTCAGATCGCAGTTTTTTGTGATCTAGAACCTCTAGATGATTGCTTATTCGGTATTAAATCAAAATCAACGTCAATACTGACAGATATTGCCAACTCTTATGACTTGCTAAATAGCGTATTTCACTTAGTTTCAAATCTCAAACCTTTAAGATTCTTCATTGTAGCAGTGATATACTTTTGGAAACGCAAAACTATCAATACTTCTAATTGAAGCATAATATTCAGATAATGTGTTAACGATCCGATAATCATGATGCGTCGTATTCATCGGATTCCATTACTGCCCCGAGAACAGCAAGTATTGAGTGGTTATGAAATATAATTTTGTTAATTGATTTTTACTTATTTGTAACCTACGAGTTTCTTTTGTCCATTCTAGTGATATTACCTCCTAATAGCCCATTCGCTTTTGAGCAGTCATAAACATCTCTTTCATAAGGTTATTATTGGTTATGAAATTGAACAAACTTTTGATAGTGTCAAAACATTCCGACAGTTCATTTATGCCGGAAAATGTTGCAATTTTAAATACGATATAATCTGTGAGCGTGACAATGAATATATTTCACATTCGTTGCACGTTCTTTAATCCTGACTTGAACACTATTAGCCCAACCACTCATTACACCAGCGCCCTAATAAAATTGGGTAACACTAGTCTAGTCCAATAAAAACTACTTTTTCATAAATAAAATTCGCAAGCGATTCGGCATTAAGAGCATTTATATGATACGTTCCAATTACTCTCTTTTGTTTCCATGCCAACCATAAAAGTAACGTATAGTTAATGTTAATTATTTCTTTTTTGAAATATCTTTTGTTTCGTAAACAAAAAATAAAAAGAACGGAGAAGATTAGATTTCTTCAATTTTTTTACAACCTTCACACTAAAAACTTTGATCAACTTATTTTGGTAATTGTGGGGTATGTAATGTACATAACGGCGTTCTAACTTTTTGTCTTTAAATTTTTATCTTTTTCTTCAAACACATTAATTCGCAAAGTTTTCCTTTTTTTTCTGATGCTTTAGTTTGATTGTTGCCACAAAACGCAATACTTTGACTAGCAAAGAATTTAGTTGCCTTTATATGACTTAAGTTTTCTTCAACTTGCTTTGATCTGTTGATTGTAACCAATTTAGAAGCAGATGGTTGAAATTTATTTGATATCCATTAGGCCTAGGATAAAATTGAATGTTTGTGACGTCAATTTTTATTATGTTGCTCAAACAATGCTTTCTTATCTTTCCATTTAGATAAACTTATATCAATAAGTGCCTTTTTTTCATCTGTCTCACCTTTGAATGTTGAATTTTTAGCAAAATATTGGCACCCGAAACAAAAAACAAATTTACTTTGAGACTCCGAGCACAACCAGTTCTGAATCTATTTTATTAAAACACCAAACGTTCTTCATGATTGCACTGTGTGTTTTCTCATGCATTTAACTATGAACAATTATAAAAATCGTTTAGACCGAGCTCTGTCTGTTATGTCAAATTTTTATTTTTTTCATTTTGCTACCATCATATATGTCTTTCGGTGATGGCATCACCGGGTGCTGCCCGCATTTCCTAATGACCCCACTAAATTTATGAGATATTTCAACAAAGTATGTTTGAAAAACCACTGGAGAAAAAACAGTGTTTGCTTTAAATATAAATTGAAATAGTTTACCTTTTTTATAACAAAAAGGAAAAGTATTCCTATGGGTTATCACATTTATTTCATTTATTTTATTTATTTCACTTCTTTTGAGAAAGCAACGTTTGCAGTTTAACGTTTTGCAACGTTAAATTGGAATGTTCAATCAACATCGTGAAGTCTCTTAACTCAAATTTATGCAACATAGAATAATCAGCATTTCTTTAACAGCGTTACATATTTTAGCAAAGTTTACAAGTTTGTAACGTTTCCACTATGTTTTGAAAAACCTATATTTCAATGTTGATTTGACGTTGGCATTTTTTCTGGAATCCAATATAAATTAATCTTAGGGAGTCCAATAAAAAAGAGTAAATAAAAGGTTTTTATGAAAAACTTACTAAGTTATGTAGGTTTTAAACGTAACTATATTTGTTTTAAATATTATATTCCTTTGATGAGAATTAAAATATATGAATACATAAAAAAGTAATACTCGAAATAAAAAAGAAAAATTGCAAAATAAATGGAAATGATGCAATTATCATTATTAATCAATATTTAAGCCGTTAAAAATAAAACAATCATACAAATACATTTTTTTTAAACTCCTCTCTTTTCCTTCTAAAAAGTAAATATACAAATTGGTAAGTATGTCGTTATTATGTTTGACGCAAATAATTGCAATTAATATAGTAGGGTTGAGGTTTTATTTTAGCGGCATTTTTTTTATTTCGAATACATTGAACTATTTTTAAGTCGAGAATATGGTTTCTAAATGATTTAATAATAAAACAATTAATAAGAGTATTTGTAATTGTGGATAGTTTTGAAAACATTGCTGCAGTTGTCACCAATTGTTTTGGAATAACAATCTTCAATGTTGCTAAAATTCCAGTTACTAAATAGGGTGTCCAAATGATCAAAAATGTTGTTACTGATAAAAAGCTTACTTTTAAATAATCTTTTTCTAATATATTAATATATTGGTTGTTTTTATTTTGACGTGCTATTGATACTTTTCTTCCATAAATAATTTTATTGCCGGTGTAAAACGTAGACGATATGACTATTACAGGTAATAAATAACAAAATATTGTAATCGTTAAAAAGTAAAAAAATGAGCCTGGGTGTGTCAAATTCCAATCTAATGAACATCTCATTTTATCAATATCTAGTTGATATTTTGACCAACCAATTAAAGGAAACGTTGCCCAGCAAAAACCGTACAAATAACAAATTGTTATTAAAGCTGCCTTAATCCACATCTTCTTGAAGGTTTTGTGATAAAAAATTGGGTATTTTATAACGATTATTTTGATTAAAGAAAGCATTGACTGTTGAGTTATACTTGACATAGCAAACCCAAAAACTACAAAACTGCTTGCAATACACAATGAAGTTCTTTCTATTAAAGAAGCGTCAGAATATACCAATAGTAATAAAGGAATAAATTCAACCAATGACTCCAGCAAGTTTACTAGCGAGATGCTAGTAATAAACAAGTGTGTTATTTCTTTCTTTTTCACTTTAAACAGGAGAATGTAAATGGCTGTTCCGTTTAATACTACTGACGTAAAAAGTATTGTGAAAAGAAAAACTTTTAAAAGTTTATTTGTCATAATTTGAAACCTAGAAATGAAGAAGCAAAATATATTTTTTAATTTAATATAAATTATTTCATTAAATTAAATTTTTTTTTTTGTCATAGCGCAAATTAAATTTAACACAAATTAAAAATAATATTTTTGTTTCTTTGTAGACATTAAAGAGGAAACAATTTACCCCTTCGAAAAACTTTTTTGAAGAGTCAAGCGTTTTTTAAAAATCTTTTAGTACTCTTTTTAGAATCCTGAACTTAAATAAATTTGTTTAATATTTTAGAGGGTGTTTTTATAGACAAGGGCGAGCCCGTTTCAAAGTTAGCCTAGCAAATAAGTTTGCGTTAAAACTGCACTTATATGAATAAAATAACTCTTTATTGCATAAAAAAAGTTGTTTAAATCGAAGTCAGTCTTTTTGTTGTCGGGCTTGCCTATCAATAAAAAAAGTTAATTATATTTAAGCAATATGCTTAGCCAGTGGGCATAGTACGTAAAAAAAGATTTCTTTCGAGCTTTTTGAACATCTTTTAAACGTTTTAGACGTCTTTTGAACGTTTAAAAGACGACTTTTTTAGATCTCGTTCCCACTGGGTAACTGGATGTTGATATATATATATATATATATATATATATATATATATATATATATATATATATATATATATATATATATATATATATATATATATATATATATATATATATATATATATATATATATATATATATATATATATATATAAATATATATATATATATATAAATTACAACTGAAAGGCATGTAAAATCAACATTTTAAAACTGTATTGTAACTTATAAGCAGTGGATATTGTAGTTGGTTACTTTTTTATATACATTTTTATGTACTGCGATTGGTGTAACAGATGATCAATAAAAGTTATCGATGCTGTTGACATATATTGGTAACGAAGCCTATTAAACATTTAAAAACCTGCATAATCTACATATAGAGATGGGGGCAGTAGGTCAATTATAAAAGTATGGAGACACTAAATTAAAAAAATATCATAAAATGTTGGGTTCGTTGGTTAAAAGCGTTGGTATGACAAAATGCGGAGGTGAAGGGGGATGGGGCGGAAAAAAAGCGTACATACTTTATGAACAACCCCTTATCATTTTTAAAACAAACTACAAAACATTTATTTTCCGGGAATGAAACGGCAATGAAGAATTGACACATCAATTTTTTATACGACTCAGCAAACAAGCAAAGGTATGTAATTTTCCTGAAACAGATTTATGCATAAAACAACAAATAGAACTGTAAAAGTCTTAAAAATTACGCTTTCTAAAACCCAGATAAAATTCTGAGCAAAATCCTAACCATGCCAAAGACATTGGAGGCAGCAAAAGTTCACTTAGAAGTTGCAGAGCAACAAAGAAATTAACTATATTCACAATAAAAGGGAACCCAATAAAAGTAAACTATTCTGTTTGAATTACAAGTTTAAAAAAAGTTTACAAAAACCAAAATGGTTTAACTGGGGGATTTAATAGGTTGTAAAGTAATGACCATTTTTGAGTTGCTGCAAGTAAAGAAAAACTGGTAATAATAAGTTGACTAGTTTATCAAAAAAATATTATCCTATGGGTTTTCATCCGTTAATAGTTTGGAAAATTTAGAAAAGACTTGTGATTTGTGTAGTGTTTCTATTTATAGAAAGGAAAAGTCAAAAGAAGGTAGCAATTGTTTTAAATCTAATACTGAGAACGTTTATTCTGTTATACATATATATATATATATATATATATATATATATATATATATATATGTATGTATATATATATATATATATATATATATATATATATATATATATATATATATATATATATATATATATATATATATATGTATATATATATATATATATATATATATATATATTATATATATATATATATACATATATATATAAATATATATATATATATATATATATATATATATATATATATATATATATATATATATATATATATATATATATATATATATATATATATATATATATATACATTTAGCAAAATCAAAACAATAATGATCACAAGTTTAAAATTTAAAAAACAGAAAAATGTTTACGTAACCACCACCAGTGGCGGATTGAGGTTTAGTGTCGTGGGGGGGTGGGGGGGCAAGTCAATAAATAGGGGCGACCGGAGTTGCCTTCAGTAATTTGATCTTATATATATATATATATATATATATATATATATATATATATATATATATTTATATATATATATATATATATATATATATATATATATATATATATATATATATATATTTATATATATATATATATATATATATATATATATATATATATATATATATATATATATATATATGTATATATATATATTTAGAGTGTTTTAGGGGCGCCGTTAGACCGTTCTAGATGGCGTGGAGGCAGCTTGCCCCCCACGCCCTATACTAATTCCGCCACTGACCACCACCTACATTTAGGGTGAACGATCTGATTTTTTACGGTGTTTTTGTTTGAAAAAACTTTGAACATTTATAACTCTTCATAATTCTAAAACTTGAACAAAAGTTTCAAGCAATCAAATTTTTTTCTTTCCACTATCTAATATTTTTTTCACTTTATTGTTAAAATAAAATTTGAATTTTTTGGTATAAAATTTGTTTTTTTTCCGGCAAAAAACTTATATTTTTGCCGCAAAAAGTTTATATTTCTTAACCGCACTGAAAAAAAAAAAAAAGAAAAGAAAAAGGCGATTATTTCAGAAATTGACCCTTATGAATTATAAATGTCTGTCAAAAGTATTCGCTCGGTATTTAATAGTATTTTCATTACTTTCGCCTTATTCTTCTTTATCTTTCTTTATCTTCTCTATCTTTCTGAATCTTTTTCTTAATTAATTTTATTTTTATTTTTTTTTTACTTGTTATTTCTACTTTCATACATGTTACAAAATTCCATTAACTTGTCAAAAACTTTGCTATACTTTTTTTTAACCAATCAATCGCTTTGCAATGGATTAGTGATTTTTGTGTGCTTTGGATTTTAAGGTAATTTAAGGAGCTACTAATAGTCTTATTACCAGACATCAAGCATCTTTAATTAAAGATGCTTGATCACTGAAAAAAAAACTTTTCAAACTCACAAAAAAAAAGCTTTTCAAAAGATGCTTATTATAAAAAGCATCTTTTAAAAAATTTTTTTTTTTGGACATGTTTCCCGCCTTATTCTTCGTCGATGTCACTTTAATGACGCAAACATCAAATTACTAATTTTTTGATATTTTTATTACTTTGATTTGTAACTAAGTTTTTAATTTTTTGATTGAAGTCAGCTCGTTAACGTTTTGTGCAACCTCGGCTGCTCGAATTGATGTTGATTGCACAAGTTTTTAAAATATATTTTTGCGTTAATTATTTTCAACAGTGATTTTAAAGTGCCTTAAAATTATATAATATAAATAAGTTTAAAAAAACAGAACTTTAAGTAAAAAAAAAATACTAAAATATCAATTTTTTAAATATTGCAACTGTAAATACTTAAAAGCTCGAATTGAACTAAATATATATTATTGCAGACAATGCAATAAATAAATAAAAAAAACCAATCAAATATTTTTCTAAGTTCAAAGTAAAGACGCAGGAACGTATTTGGTGCCGTAGGTAGAAAAATATATTAATGAGAAATGTAAAGTTTTCCCGTCAGGCTTGGCGCGAAAAAGTCAAAGAAATCTTATAAATAAGCTACTACAAAAAATATTCAATAATCATTTTAGAAAAACCTCAAACTTTTACCTAAATTTTTTTCATATTATATAATATTTTACTAAAATCCTTAAGTTATTTAACTTAAGGATTTTAAAAATATAAATATTTTGTTTTTTAAATTAAATTTAAAACGACACCAATTTTCATATCATATATGTATATAATATATACAATGTGTCAAAAAAAAATTGCAGCAAACGATTTCTCTTCAAATTTTTAATTTTTGGATCACTTTCATTGTAATATAAAAAAACATAACGGATTAAACTGGGTGAAAAAAAAATCCCGTTATGTTTAGGAAACAAATGAGTGGTGTGGGCGGTTTTATTTGTTGTGTAACTGTTGTTGAACATTTTAAAGTTAGTAGCTGCCGTATATAGTCGCAAAAAAATACTTGCAGCTTAGTATAAAAATGTAAGTTTATTTATTTTTTTTAAAGTATCGTAATCTCTTACATTGTAATTTATTTAAAAATAGATAAAAAATACAAAATTAAATAAAAATTACTCATTTTTAATAATTTTTATTCATTTTATAGAAAGATGGCAAAAGGAGATCGACACTGGACTGTAGCCCAACGTAATTTAGCTGTGGACCTAAATAAAAAGACATATGGCGAGGTTTAGGCAGAGACTGGCATTCCCAACTGCACTGCTTCCAGAATAATGGGGAGATACAAAAAGAATGGAACTACAGCTTCTTTGGAAGGACGAGGTAGAAAAAGAAAGACGAATACTTCCATTGACTGTAATATCGTAATAAAAATCATAAAGAATCGTTTCCAGTCTGCCAGAAATTTAGCTAAAAAGGCGGAAAATGAGCACGACATCAAGATCACTCCTCAAACAATATGTAACAGGATCAAGAAAGCTAGTTTCCAAGTAAGACATGTTCTTAAAAAGATATTTTTGACGAAGAATCATATGAAACGCCGATTTGATTTTGCTAAAAAGTACAAAAACATGGATATTAATTTATGGAAAATGTTTTTATGGAGTGATGAAACTAAATTCAATCTGATGTCATCTGATGGAGCTAAAACAGTATGGTGCAAGAAAGGAGAAACGTATAAATTGAACTGTATAAAAGGCACAGTAAAGTTTGGCGGTGGCAATTTTATGGTTTGGGGATCGATGGCTTGTAAAGGAGTTAGAAAACTGCCATTTATTGACTAAAAAATGGATGCTCCATTATACAGAGAGATTCTCAAAAATAATCTCAAGTCTTTAGCTCGAAAATTGCGACT